TACGTCCTTACAAACCCATGTTATTTTATCTTTGTTTCCTTTGTTAACTCCCTGTTTATTTACAATAATGATTAGTGCTGATGGATTCTTATCAGCTGGAAGAAATGGAAGTAGTGCCCATCCCTGACAGTCTGGTACGTTCACTATTATTGGCATCGCATCCTGACCTTGGAAATGTCTTTTTACTCATAGATTCTATATAATAAGTAACCAGTGGGATTAATTTGTCTTTGATTCATCGTTTAATAAAGCATTTATTTGTTAGCCCTATGATGTATAAGATTGTATTTTTTAAGAAGCTTTTTTTTCAAAAGATTCACACATTTCTCTTGAGGTAAAATGTACTTGAAACTTGAAACTTGTTTATCTCATATTATGTAGTTGGTGCATCCCTCTCTCACAAAAGTAACCGCTTCTCAAAAACTACCCCTGGGATATCTAAAAACATGTTCAAAAACAGTTACCCGTACAAGCCATTCGGTGTAGAAATACGAAGTAAAAAACTGCAAACATATAGACGCGTTTCTTGGGTTAATACACATAATAAATATAAGAGCCTCGTTACGTTTGCAAATTATTGAATGCAACTATATTATCACTATGTTTGTTATGTTATCGCAATGTTTTTACATCACATTTGTATTTGTGTTACAACGCATTGGAATCAGGCGCTGGTCAATTTCTGGACATATGGAGTTATTGGTATCCTTTTAAATCTTGTTCATTTGTCTTGCTTTCGATGAAAAATGTATGCTTCTATCTTCAATAGAAATTGAGATATTTCGAATTGTAGCAGGTAGGATCACTTGGTTTCAGAAGTAAAATTAGAGAGAAAATGGCCGCCAAACTTTGTCGACTTCCAAAGCTTAAGAGTCAATGGAAACTGTAAATTTACGGGGTATTTTTTGCTCCTTTATTCGATGGTTTTAAGTAAAAGCCACACAACAATGTTTTAAGGACATAAAATGTTGAGCCCAAAAAATAAAATTTCATAAAAATTAGCAAATGTGAAGAAAATGTCGTTTTCATCGATTTCATTATTTCGACGAGCGCCTGATTTCACCTAGATGCCTCACATTTGTATTTTATGGCTCTGCATGTAACTATTTATAGGGCCTATTATTTTACGCTTTGTTTGAAGCCTAAACTGCGCAGCAGGATGGGTGAACTACGCCTCGGAACGGGTAAACTATGCTTTAATATGACCGGTAAATTGTTTTTTGAGAGGTCGTGTGTCCTCGGAAACATTTCACGAATTGACCTGATCCGATTCAAAGCTCTGGCACGACAAGTAAGTGGACAACCGAAATGGCCGTAAATCAATACAAGGGAAAACAACACTACCACTATCAATAGATTACTCCTCCTCCTCCTCCTCCTCCTCCTCCTCCCCCACCCTCACCCCGCGTGCCCCTTTCACCCTTGAATTCCCATCGGGACTCATCACTTGGAAAGAAATAATTAAATTGTGCTTTGTATTTGTTTCACTCGTTGAACTGTTCCATGCTCTTTGTTGTGAAGTAAATGAGCAGCACCGTGGAAAGCAGAAAAGACACGGTGGTGATCACAAGACGAACCGCGTAAATGAGAGGTTAACTGGTCATGTTTGAACTTTTGTTGTTGCCATAATTTGTTCTTATATTAAGCTCATTATCGATTAAATATACGAGAGCCCGAGGTCATTAGGTGTTCTCAGTTCAGCTTTTTTTCTCTTTTTTTAGGGAGGG